CTCTGAAGGCCTGAACCCCAGGTGTTTTCCTCTTTGAGGAAAAAACACTCGATGGTACCAATGAGTAGTGAGTGGAAGCTTACCCAGAACCAGGTGCTGTGCTAAGAGCTTCATCCTATTTATTTCGCACAGGGGGACTACCAGGTGTCACTTGCATTTTGTTTAGACGCTACCATTTTCATGTGTGGACGTTTTGTAGGTAAGAGCTCTGAGGTAAGAATTTCAAATGTGATGACATAAACCAAATGAAGAATCTGGCTGAGAGTGAATGCAGGGAAGCTGGACTCCAGAAGGAGACCTCTTCTGGGTGCCCAGGTGTTCCTCCCTGGCAATGACAACTAAAGGGAAAGGGCTGTATACTTCTTGCACAAAGAGGCAGGAAACATCTGGATAAATGAATTAGCACAAAACTTGTCCAGAAATGAAAAGCAGAAGCTGTGGGATAGAGGAGCCCATGACTACAATGGCCAGAGCAAAGGGGTTCCTTCCTTTCCCTCCTGGTTAAGTACCTGAATCTGGGTCGTTTCGTGAGCAACTACCTGGTGCCAGGCATGGTGCTAGTTGCCTTAATTGTGATTTAATCCTCATTTACTCCTCACAGTCCCCCTTTAACATAGGAGTTGTGAGTGTGGAAAGAAGCACAAGGCAATTCCACTGAGTCATTAAGATGATTTACTCAGCCTCATCTCCGCAGCCAACAATCTGCCCAGGGAAGTGGTGACTAAAACAGAAAATAGGCCATGGCCCTTCCATTTATAGAACTTGCAGTAAAAACACTCCCGTTGCTGAATTGCACAAACTAGTCTCAGAAAAGAAAAAACATTTTTTTTTCAGCGTAAGTATTCAAACTCGGAGCTTTTTAGCGACCAGTCAGGGTCTAAATGGAATTCAAATGCATTTCTATGGCATTGGATTCAACAGAGAAAAGCCTTTGGAACAAGGAGAGAAATAAACTTCATCCCGGTTGAGATCCATGTAGACAGCCTCTAACAGTGTTCCCCCACCTGTTACTTGGTTAGGCTAAGAACTAATTGAGCTCACACAGCTGGGAGAAAAATTAAGTATCAGAAAGGAATTTTCCCCTATTTTTGAATTCATCCATTCAAGTTCAACCACTTCCTATGATAAAACCAGGTTAAATTTGCACTTTATAATTTTAAAACCTAAGTCAGATCATGGCATTTCTCTGCTCAAAACCCTCTAAAGCCTCACTACACCCCTAAAAACCAAAGTTCTCCCAAAGGAACCCCACATAGTCTATTCCGCATTGCCATATTTCTCTCTCTAACCTCATCAGGTTTCTTCCTTTCTTTTTTTAACACAATTCTGCAACTAAGAAAAGGTTGCGCGTTGCAGTACCCTGAATTCCCCCACCTCTTCCTGTTTTCTCCATCAGGAGTCAGCAAATACAACTGTGTGGGTGGACCGAATGCCCGTTTTTGTATGGCCTATAAGGTAAGAATGGTGTTTACATTTTTAAATGGTTGAAGAAAAAAAAGAAGAAAGCCACTATTTCATGATGTGTGAATTATATGAAATTCTAATTCCAGTTTCAGCGAATAAAATTTTCTTGGCACACAGCTGAGGCCGTTTCAAGGGATCCACACCACACGTCAGCAGATTTGCAAAGTAACTGGATACAAACAATGTATTTCTCAAAGTAACACGTGGGTTTGTCCATCATACACACGGAAATAACAAAGAAATATACTTAAATCCTCTGCAAAAGAGAGATGAGGATGGTAATCAAGTTACCTCACATATGGACAGCACTTAACAGTTTACAGTCTAATCCATTTTGTCCTCATAACAGCCCTGTTAAGCAGGAAGCACGGAAATGACTCCATTTCACAGATAAGGCAACTGAGCATCAGAGAGTTTCCAGCACTGGCCTAAGGTTTCCCAGCTTTAGATGTCGATGTGGGCCTAGAACTCAGGACGAGGATGCCTAGACCAGTGAGTGCTCTTTCACAAATGCGCTTCCAGGGAAAAATTCATGGTTGTGTAAAAGATAATGGTTTGACATCATTTAGTAGAACTATGATTTTTCTTGAGCAGATGAGATCTAGTACTATCAGATCAACTCTAATGTTAATGTCACGTGGTTGTGATAGCCAAGAAGAATAATTTTCTGAATCATTCATGTGTTTGTACCTACAACAAAATGGTTGTTTTCTACCTTAACTCTGCCCTGCCTTAATTTTAAGTCACTGACACAGAGAAATGACACTCTGATTAGATTTCACTGACTCATATCTTACTACCAGGATTCACATAGGGCATCTGTAATCAATTCATTATTTAAACTTACAATCTGTTATCTTACTGAAATGAAAATATATCTTATTCATTTATTCTTCTGGCTGTGGACATTAGACTAGCTCTGTTCTTTAGCCATAAATAATATGTTCTCTTTTATACCATTTCAATAGCAGTATAAATGATAAACTTCACAGGGTTTTTTGTTTGTTTGTTTGTTTTTAATCTTATAGTTTAAAGTGAAGGGAAAGGCATTCTTCCTCCCTGGGGGAATGAAATCAAACTTTGAAAAGCTAAATAAAATCCTTTATTTTAAAATAAAACTTAATTTTATTGGGAACAACCCCTCTACTGCATTACGCTTTTTAGTTAAGAATTTATTTATGTTTTATTTCAGAGTGTTTTTTAACTGAAGTACAGTTAGTTTACAATGTTGTGTCAATTTCTGGTGTACAGCTAATGTTTCAGTCATATGTGAACATACATATATTCCTTTTCATATTCTTTTTCATTTTCATCATAGGTTACTATAAGATGTTGAATATAGTTCCCTGTGCTATACAGTATGCACTGGTTTATCTATCTTATATATAGTACTTAGTATCTGCAGATCTCGAACTCCCAATTTATCCCTCCATCCCCTCCTCCCCATAGTAACCATAAGTTTGTTTTCTGTCTGTGAGTCTGTTTCTTTCTGTTTTCTAAATAGATCCTTTCTAAATCATGAGGCAAACAGCGCAACGGTCTGTGTTTCTAATCACTATGTCTTCCATACAGTACATAACTTAGTTATTGCGTCAGCATCACTTCTGTGGGAAAGCCCGAGCCTTCCGTACCGGGTGCACCCAGGCCCAGGGGGTGAAGACCCCCACTGAGCTCTGCTCCATCCCACTGCACCCAGCGGAAGGACATACAAAGTTCTGATGACAGGAAACACGGGGCCGTCAGAGGGACATGAGGTCCTAAGTGAACGCGGTGCCAAAACATGCTGACAGGTGCCACCCATGGAGGGAGGCGGAGGGTCACCACCCTCCTCCCCGCGCTGGTGCGCCGTCCCGTGTGTAAAACAACAGCCGCACGGTTGGTTCGGAAGCTTCTCTATGTTTCGTCTCCACGTGCGTCGCTCACCGGCTCCTCCCAGGAGTCCTACGGAGGAGCTTCTCGCATCCTCACCTTACGCTTGAGAAAACCAAGGCCAAGAGGACCCGTCATCCCGCAAGTGGGGGCGGCAGGGCCGGTGCTGCCGAGCTGGGGCTGCGGGTGCGACGCCGAGAGGGTCCCGCGTGCTGAGGGCAGAAGGTTGGGCGTTCGGCTTCACCTCCCCGAGCCTCAGTTTCTCCACCTCCAGGGCCTTTGGCACGTCTGATTATGGGGATTAAATAAGACTAGATCATCTTTACTATTCCCTCCTCACTCTAAGATTATTCTGTAAATATATTTCTATTTGTAGAAAAATTTACTACCTGGTCCTTGATCTAATCACACCTTGCTTTTCATTTCTCACAAGAAAAGAAGTCAAAGTCATAGGACTTTCTGTTAATTTATAACCTCAGTTGACTAGGTCATGTGTAGCTGCATATACAATAAGACAGCAAGGAGAAGGAATCAGCGTGGTCTGGAGAGGTCTTGGAGGAGGTGAGATCTAACTGTTCTCTGTAAGACTGAGCACGTGCAGGAAGAGGGGAGGGTGTTTCAGGAAGAAGGAAACATGAGGGGCTAGGAGTCCTGTCTACACACGGGGCTTCATGAGATGCAGGCTGCTGGGACAGAGTCTGGAAGGGGAGCCAGGGAGGCTGGGTGCCGGGAGGAGCCAGGATGGAGATGGTTGGCCCGCCAGGCTACAGTGAGAATCGATGCAGGATCCCAGGGGAAGGTATAGGAGACTGATCTGGCCAACTGTCCAGAAGCCTGTTTCATTCAGTACAGAATAGGTCCTGAGGGTTCAGACTTAGGAAATCATGTTCTTAGTTTTACATCCTTCTTCTGTTTTGATTAGATGTTCTGTAATTGCTTCATAAATTCCCAGAACTGTAAACTGTAACAACAGAAAACACTATAAACCCATACAATGAACATGTTGGAACCAATGGTTTTTCTTGAGCATTAATTTAACAATTAGATAAATATAAGTACTCCCAAGAATTTTGCTTAGTGGCTGAACTCCCACCTGTTTCTTACTCTCTCCTTCTGTGTCTCAGTTTCTGTCTCTCTGATCACTGGATTTCTTCTATATTTCTACTTTTTAACATAAAAACTATTCCAAATACTTTTCCAACGTGTGTGGGATACAAAGAAATTATTATTAAATCTCTCTAGAGATGTGATCTTCAATACCTTATTATACTAAATGATGACAAAATAGGCTTACATACATACAGCTCTTTTGAACAGAGGATCTGAAGTCCTTTGTAAACCCAATTTATTAAACCTAATTCAAATTAATCCCTGCAGTTGCTGTATAGAATTTTAAGGATTAAAAAGGTGGGGTTTTTTGGGTTAACGTGTATTATTTTATTTGAGCTGCAAAACTCCTGATGGCGAGCTCCCCCAGTACCTAGCATAGTGCCTCTGACCTAAGTAGATTCTCAATAAATAAGTATACTTGTTGAAAAAAATGAAAGATTAAGTCAGAAATAATTCTGTGAGCAGGAATATGTACTGATTCTCATTTCACTGAGGAAGAAACAGTGTTGTGCTGGAGTCATTATGAGACACACTGGGACCTGGGACCCTTTACTGCAGTGCTTGCACCTGGACAAACGTCTAGTCTCGAGCAACAAAACACAAGAAACTATCAGGGACTAAAAGTAACTACATGCATGCACAGTTGGGACAAATTATGAACAAAAAGATACAAAAAGGTGCTACCAAGGGGTTGGGCAGACCATCTAAACCACCCCTCCAGCCCAACCAACCAATCCGCCCCTATCCTCACCCCATTTAAGGAACCAGCTCATCATCCCCCTTCAGGGAGTGAGCAAGGGCACCTGATACTTGTGTTTTTGTTCCCTCCTGCTTCAGCTCGAGTCCCCATAAAGCCATGCCTGAATTCCTCATCTGGCCCCTTATCAATTTCAATTAATTAAAGAGTCCAAGGACCCTGATGGGTAGCAATTAGGACCTGCTTGGAAGAGCCAAGGGCACGTACTTCTTCCCAGCTTCACTTAAATGACTTCACCTTGGCAGCTTGAAACTCGCCACGGTGGGAGCATTTACATCAAGGAAATCAGCAAAAACTGTAAGTCGGCGCCTCTTCCCCTGCATTCCGTGAGAGCCAGTTTTAAAATACTTGCCAGCTTACCGCTGAAATTAGGAATCCCACTGGGTAGGTGACTTGACTGACGTTAAACTGCTGGCTAAGAAGTTAAGCCCAGGCTCCGGGCCCTAAGACGAGAAGCCATTAGGGAAAATGATGAGTAAAGGATGGGAGGGTAGCCAACTTCTGAGTCTGCAGCATAGTTCCGTACATGACAGAAAATGTATCTCCAGAGACGTGAAACACAGCAAGTCCTTTTATAGTGATGATGAAGGGATAGAGCATGAAGACTGGCTGACCCAGTGAGAGGAGCTTTCTGCGGCCAGTGTGGGCAGCCTGTGACGGCGGCCAGACGCTGTGCCCAGCACTTCTCACGTGTTATTGCATCTGTAGTCAGTTCTCACGGCACCCTTCCAGGCAGGAATTACCATGGGGCGCAGAGAAGCTGGGTCACTTGCTCAGATCCCGTGGCCAGTAGGAAGCTAGGTCAGGACTCCACCCCCATTTCTCTAGCAGCCCAGGCTTGCATTAATGCTCACTGGTTTCAGAACACACAGCCTGGGGTGTGTGTGAATTCATGGGGCAGGGTCTGTACAGGGTCTCTGAGGACGCCTCCTCCCTAGCAGAATCCAGAGAGAGCAGATTAAGCTGAACCGCCCAAGCCTGGCACTACGTGGTTACACTTTGGTGTGTCAGGCGTGAGGCCATTCTGTTATCAAACCTCATTTCCTGATTATTCCTGTGCTTTCTTGCTGTTGGGTTTTGGTTGTCTTTCCACAGTTAATAAAACTCACTCTCCTCACTGAGTTTTTCCCATAAATATGCTTCTCCCCTGTACTACCTCGGCCTTATGTCTCCCTCCTAAGTCTGACATGAAACCCGCTACTCTTCTCATTTTCAAGCCCATCATCTCAATGCCACCGTATTTTTCCCCTAATAGTTTCTGTATCTCCTGTTTGCTCTGCAAATCAAATTCTTACCTTCCTTCCTTTAAAGCAGCTACTGTCTTGTTCACTATCTTCATTTTGGTCAAGTGACCATTATCAGTGTTCTCTGTGTTTATTTTCAACCTAATTCAAAATCTTCATGCACTTTCTCCCAATAAAATAACAGTATTTTATTCTGAACCATAAAAACTTCTGATCTTTTTTCTTCCTTCAAGGCCTTCCTTGGGGATCCAGTCTGCTCTAGGAAATTCTGCCAGATGAACAAAGGGACCTCCCAGACTGCTGCCCCCTTTCCCTGTGTGGGTGCACAGTGTGGGCACCAGGGCAGGCATTCTGGGCTGCCCTGCTCGCCCACATCTCTCTTCCACATCCTCTCCCATCCTCCCACCAAAAGCCTCAGATCCTCTCACCAATCTCCTGACTTATTTTGAGAATGTTTATTCATGTGGTATGTTTATCTGTATGTAAAATCATGTAAAGTTTTGTCTGTGTGCATGTGTGCATGTGTACGTGTGGTGTGAGTACCAGTCTGCAGTTTGCGGGGTAGGATATGATCCTATGTGTTTTTTGAGTGCAAGTCTGACACGGGAACCTGGGTGGGCATGGCTCAGCTTGAACCTGGAAGGAATAAAAGCTTGTGTGAACATTCGCACGTATACACAGTACATAGTATCAGCCTGCTTCGGCTCTGGATTTCTCACTGGAGTGGGTAGAGCAAGGGAGCAGATGTGGGCCCTACTAACCAAGAGTCAGCTTATTTGTGGTCTAATGTCAATGGCTTTGTAACAAATTATGGACTACAAAATTATTACTTTCTGTGATTTGACTGAAAATACAGCATTTTATACTGTGAGGCAGAAACTATGTATTTTGCACTGGGATGAAATAATGTGAGTTCTGAGCCATGTCCTGTGTGGCATCTACAGTAAGACAGAAGTATTGAGAAAAATGTGATGTGCTTAAAAAAAAAAATCACAATCAAAAACCACTTCCATTTTGCTTTGTAATAACTGAATGACATGAGGGACAGCTTTTCTGGGGGTGGGAATAGGGTGGAGAGAGAGAGTCTTCTCCTTGTAAGTTGGCAGATAGGTTTACCTAGACAAAGTTCCTCTTTAGACATGCTTGCTGATTACTGTAGTCGATCCTTTTATCTCCTTTCCTCCCCTGTTCTCTCTTTCTCCCTCCTTGATGGCAAAAGTTGCCACTTCAGATCCCCTTCCCCATCCTCACCCCCATATGCCCCCTCCAGCTGTGTCAGTGTCAGGGAGGAAGGGCAGGTGAGGAGCTCAGGGACAGGACCTAGAACCAATCAGCTGCTTCTGAGCTGCCACCGAGTCTGGAATTTATGGCGATTACATGGTTAACCTCATGTCTCGGTGCCTCAGTTTCTTCTGCAAAATGGGGAGATTATTTCTCCCTCATAGGTGGTTGTGAGGCTTAAAGTGTCACTATAGGTGTAAAGCATTCAGAACAGAGGCTGGTGCACAAGAAACACACCATGTTCGTAACTGCTGCAAGACTGGGCAGAAGGAGAAGTTTGTTTCTTAAGCAGGCAAGAACAAAACTGACAAGAATCAGTATTTTAAAAAGCAAGCAGTGCTGTGAACCCAAATATGCCCCAAGAACGAATAAGGGGGGCAAAGCTTAGAAAAGCAAATATTTGACTCCTTCGAGACCTATTTTATATTTGAGCTTTGTTGTTTGTTTCAAATTCTGTTATCATCATACTGGTTACTGGGAATTTTAAATGACTTTTAGCACAACTCCTTTAAAATATAATAATGCTGTACAATCCTTGTGTCACCAGTTTCCTTAGTAAAGACTCAGGACTTTTTCTTTGCCTGTTTGTTCATTTGGCATTCCACTGCCTTAATTTTTTTATGTCCGTGAATGGAAAACTACTCCCATGTGCAAATTGTGAAGAACGATGGTACTTAGTTTAAGTAGTTGTGAATTTTGTTGCTGAACACACATAGTAGGTCTCAAGTGGCCAACAGTGAGAAATGGTAACAGAACCCAAGTTTCCCCTCTGTCCCACAACCACACTAAGTTGAAATTTAAAGTCTTCGGACTAACACTGAAATCAAGAACTAACTCTCTAAATGCATTCTTTGTGGAGGGGTAACTCCAAGTAGCCCCGTTGTGTTGCCCCGTGTGTGAGCTAACGTTTCACAGCTTACATCACAGCCACAAAACACCCAGAGTCAGTGATGGAGTAGAATTCTGTCTTTTGTAGATGAGACAAACAAATTGGAAGTCCTCAAATTTGAATTAACAAATGATATAACAACTGAGAGAACACAATTTTTCACACGTGAAATGTGGGTTATAAATTCAAACTTCAGGCTGTTCCTTCCTTCTTAGGCGCAGAGGGGAAGCAATTACCATCAAACGGGAACCATGAATGCTTCTCAGCACCAGTTGCTATGATGGGTTTCCTGAGAAAAGTCTACAAAATTGAAATTACAAGCTTTCCAGTAAATTCTGGATGATTTGTGATTTCTTTTAACATGCCCGCTTGGCTCCTGGACTGGGTTTAGCAGGGGCAAATTTGTTTAATGAGGAATATAGATCATCAGAAGAAGCGAGGAAAAGACAAGACTTAGAATGTGGAAATCAATGTAGCGTTAAGAATTTGCAGGTAAATTTTATCTTTTTTCTTTTGCCATCCGGACAAGAGCCAAGAATTGTCCTCTGTGAGACTTGAAAGATTAAAAATATAAAATACAAAGCAGTACAACTGATTTTTACTGTGGCTTCCAAGAGAATCCTCATCAGCTCAAGGTCGTAGTTTTTAAACCTGCCACTTTCATCTTTAATACTGATGATTCATGAGGTATTTTGGGTATCAGGTTGATTTTTTTAATGAAAACCCCAGTCCTTTTCCCTAATTTATATGAATCTGTTCAGACTAGAATAAGAGACCTGAAGTTTGAGTGCATGTCCATAGAGTGTATGTCCCATATCAGGACAGAGGGGCAGGTTTCATGACAATACTGCATTTCCCCAGCAAGGAGGAACCTGGAGTCAGAATGGAATGATCAAATGACTTAGTTTTTTTTTTTTCTGACAGTCATATAACATCTTCTAATTCTAGTCCCCTAATTTTTCTTTGGATTATAGTATCTCCTTTATGGAACTTTGGAGTTTGTTTTTGTTTTGGCCATGACGGAAAGCTGAGATGATTACTTTACAGTAGGAGAGAACTTTGGATCCCCCTACTGGTGATTTCTTCAAATTGCAAGTCTCCACTCTGGTTTCTGGAATCCGTTTAGTGGGTTACCATCAGAATTTTTTTAAATGAAAATATGGATTGCATATAGGAACTGTAAATGTTTCTTGGTAAAACTTTGTTCCCATTATGTATATATGAATGCAGAGTCACGACTGATTTCCAGCACCAGTGGGCCACCAGCAGCAGGATGGGATTAGGGTGAGGGGACTGAGGCTGCATAAGTGCAGAGATGGATCCCATCTCTATGTAAAATTTTGAGATTTTGTTCATCAAGGAGTTTTTGCATTACTTTAAAAAAGGTTTTCTTTAAAATATTATTTATTTTGATTACTGCTCTTTTCTATGCCTTCTTAAACTTTGTGCCTCAAATGAGTGCCTCACTTGCCTCTCCCTCACCTGGACCTTGCTGGTCCATGTGTTTACAGAGGGAGCGGAGAGGGTTGGCCAGCCTGGGGAATTCCTGAAGAGGAAGCACATGAGGGGTAAGACGTTGACATGTGTGTGATGTCTTCTTTCTCTGTGGGACAGGAGATGAAGTCATCAGCTAAGTGAGGAGGACAGGCCTTGGGCAGGGGGGAGATTTAGCATGGCTGGTGAAGAGCCTGGGAGAGGGAGCAGGTCCAGGACAAGTGGAGGCCCGTCACTCAGCACCAAGGACTCTGCCTGCAGCTGGATATCGCCATGTATAATGATGCTGTCTGCCTGTGACTTAGGCTTCCTGACAGCCCTGGAGGTGTTGTAGGAGTCTAGAGGGAGGGAATGACCCACGGTCTGGGGTTGCTGGGGTGGAAGGATGGGAACCAGGGAGAGGAGGGCAGAGGTGCCAGGTGATTCTGCATCTGAGACAGGGAGGTGGGTAGAGGAAAGGTCAGGGCACTGCTGGGTGGACAGGGGTGTTAGGGGGCAGGTGGCAGGTGTGCAGAGCATTCTCGATGAATATTTAGAGGTTGTGATTGAAAAGGGAGTGGACTGGAATTTGAAATTTCAGAGGAAATGCAGTTCTAAGTGATGCCACATAAATGACTTTCTTGATGGTAAGTTGTCTTGAATATGTGGGAGGGAATATGAATAAAATGGCATACACACCGTAAAACAAGGGTTCCTGAGACTTCTGAGTGTTGTATGTCTACTAAGCAAGATGTAGAAATATAGTTTCCTTCAGGTTAGATGTTGTTCATATATTACAACAACGGCCAGAAACAGTGGTCGAGAAACATATGGATGGACACAAAAATATGTGCATTTTGAATTCAAACCCGCTGGCTTTCTCTAGTCAACACAACTCAGCCTTCAGCTCCAGGGTCAGTGTTGCTTCTCCTTCTGGAAGATGCCTTTCCCCTCAACCTGGCCCCCACCTTGAGACCCCCGTGCTCCCAGCACAGCCCTCACTCTTTGCTCCACATCTGTCTTCCTGCTCCAGCTCCACGATGGCCTTGTCCGTCCCGCCTTCCAACTGTTTCCCTCTCCCTTTGTTACCCCTCAATCTTCTCATGAACTAGCCCTTTAAGATAATTCCTTTTATCTTTGCCTCCTCCCTCTTCTCCTTCTTCTGAGTTTACTGTTCCTCCAGGCCTCTCTGTTCACCTCCCCCCCAACCCCACCCAAGAGTGTTCACAGCTGCTCTGCTCAGGGTGCCCACCGGACCTTCAGTCCCATCTGCCTCCAGTTCAGCTCACCCACTGCACTTCCTCACCTGTCATCTCTCCAACAATGCAGTCAACACAAGCCTAAAACCAAACATTTTCCCACCTAGCTCCTAACTCAGGAAACAAATTTTCCCTCATTTGTCAGTAATGGTTTGTCATTGGAAATACTGAACAATCTATAATAGGAATAGAAAAGAGTTTTATTTGAGCCAAACTGAGGACTATCTTTTAAGGACTGAAAGCTGTTCCTTCGATATGTAATCATCAGGAAGGATAGAATCCTAATGTCAAGACTGACAGCTGGCAAACAGGGCTGTCTAATTCCATTTACACTGGCTCACTCTTACCCATGTTTTGTGATTTTTCACTTCCCTGACTCTACTTGAACCCCTACTCACCCAGTCGGCTCTGCACAGATCGGGGTGGAGTTCAGCTCGTTCCCCTACTGTCAGTGGTTACTGAACAAAATCTGTGTCCACCGCTTTAACTAATGTCTAACTTTACCTTTGACACCTGAAACAACAATTGTTCCCCTGCCTGCAGCCCCATTGATCCTCAGGTTGTTCTGAAATCCTGTGACTCATCCCACCTTGGCTGATCTCTGCTCCTGGGGACACCCCTGTGGGGCCTGCTGTTGGTGTTGCCCGCGTCAGCACTGACCTGCCTGGACCTTACAGTGATGTGCTGATTTTTTCTGTGATTTTGTTTTTGACTCCAACTAATTGTCTCCATTACTTCGAAGCTGAAGGCCCTATAGTTCATTATTTTCATTGACTAGGATGAGAACTTACATAGAAAGTACTCAAATACTTACAGGATGAATTGAAACTGCCATAGTTTAACTGTAAATTAAAATGCAGGCTTTGTCATCTTAATTACAATTTCAGCAAATATAGTTGGTTGGGCATGTATTTTAAGGATTACAAAAGTAGCCTCAACAAAGAAATGCGTTGTCTGCAGGGGTGAGAGAGAATAGACGAGAGGTGACTGTAGATAAACTAGTTTTGTCCAGAAAAGGTTAAAGAACTCTCTTGTTTGTTTGTTTTGTTTGTTTGTAGTAGTTGTGAGGCACAGCTCCCAGACTTGGGGTGGGGTCCACCACCTGCTTCCCCGAATTCCTTTACTTTTCTCTTCTTTATCCTTCTGAACAGTGTTCCCTATTTAAAAAAGAGGACATAAATTTGCCTCCAGTCCAAACACATGAACCGAAGTTATATTCCAAATATTTGCATATTTTCTTCTAAGCAGCTCTTTGTTCTGTTCTCGTCTGTAGTCTCCTCTTCCCTATTTTCAGCAGGCTCTGAAGTCATCTGCAATTTTTATATCCCCTCAATAAGAATACGTTGATATTCACCCCCAATTTGCAGATTAAATCACCAATGCAGAGCGCAGGGAGGGGTGCCCAAGGTTGTACAATAAATCTGGCCCCAAACCAGACAACTTTGGTTCCAGCCTGTTAACTGGTTGCCCAGTCACGCTGCGGGCACAAAGGAAGCTGCACCCACAGCATTCTGTCCTGGATGGTTGCTGAGCCCACATTCATTATTGGGATCGCTTTGTTTCCTGTAAGCCCAGCATTTTCTCTCTCCAGGTCAGGCAGGTCTGCGGGCTTCTCTGTAGCCCTCACTCCTGCACTTTGACTACAGAAGCTAGAGGATGTGCCTTAGAGATGCGTTATGACTCTGCATGAACCAGAAGGGCGGGCCTCGATTGCCTGTGCGTGGTCTCCATCAGCAAGGCCAGGGCTGGGGCAACGTTGTTTAGTTTTAGTGAATGAATTTGGATCATGCTGTTTTGGGGACGGTAAATTATGCTCAGGTAAATTATGCAGGTATTTTCTTTACTAACAGTTTAACCTGGGTTCACTACACGGCTTACAATTATACAAGCCAATGGTGTAATGATAAAGTCTCTTAAAAAAACCAATAAAAAAGAACACACTCCAAACAAATGATAGATTAATTACACTATTGTCAGGCGAGGGGAGATGACAGAAATGAAGTCGAAATTCAGCTGAGGTGTACCTTGCTCTGAGGTTGGTTCTGGGGAGACTTGGTTTAGGCAACCTGGAGCTGAAGTCCAGCAGACAGCAAGCGAAAGTGGAAAGCCCTCTGTTGCTATAGCAGATTGCTAGGCAACGAAAGCGGTGTAGGCGGCAAGCTGGTCTGGGCACGCGCGGCGGGCTTTTGCCATTGCGGATAGAGTCGCCTTTACCACCGCAGGAGCCAACGCCCCAAGGTCTGGAGGAAATAGTTATTTTAAGGCAGGACAAGAAAAAAAATCAAATATAAAATTTTCTCTCTGCCCATTTGGGCCACTCGCCCCTTTTCTTTAGTGTGCATTGTGCACCTGCATTTTCCATTAGCCAGATTTCCTTAGAAGACACAAGAATGCCTGCTAGACCAAAAAAAGCAATTTTCTCCTGGCGCCAGCAAGGTAACTCCTTAGGAGATAACATTCCTCTCCTGAACTTGTAAGGGGTCACAATGACTCACTACTCACCCAGTGTGTGCAAATCTGGTCCATGTAAACTGTCAAGATGTTACTTTGTTATATAACCCTTTGTCTTGAAAAGGGATGTACTGTACTTTGATTTCTAAATGATGGAACAGTCCTTAGAGTTTTCTGAAATTCTTTCTCCCAGGTCATAATCCTCAGGTTGACTCCAATAAATATCTCTAGTTCTTTTTACATTGACTATTAACTAATTTTTTTGTCCACAGTCTTCAGAGAGCTAGATCAGCAAAGGGTAGCTTTGCCTAGATTGAAACTCTTGGGTTGTCCTTACACACTTTGGGTATTTATAGTCTAAATGTCCCTTCACCATGGTTGCTTCTTATGGTTTTACTGATAACCCCCAGCTCAGCCCCTCAGCAGCTGAGCTCTGAGTGCTTATCAACCCACCTGATGAGATGATGACATCCTGACACAGCTTATTTCATTCTTATATGGAAACAACTTTAAATCTAAAAACAACTCCTTTTTTTTTGTCTTTGTCATGAACAAGTGGATTAAAGCAACTTAAATCATAAACAAGTGGAAATCATATCAAACCAATATACAACACATGGAGATGCTTTTGCTTTTGGTTGGGAAAGGCCACCTAGTGACTATGTTCAACTGGTGAAGTTCAGGTGTTCTTTTGTTATAAAAGAGAAGCTGGGTATTGTAAAGAGGAGTTTACCTTTCCTAGATCTTCCCCTCATCACATCAACACTGTCAGTGGGGTTTGGTTATAGTTTGTGCAAACAGTGGCTAGACAATTCATGTTGCTAAGGATGGGAGGGTTTGGTTTTTAAACTTCCTAACTATACTGAATTGAGGAGGGTAACCAGCTGTTCTGATTTGCCCAGGACTCCTGAGTTAGCACTGAAGGTCCTGCATCCCAGGAAACAAGAACATGAAGAGTCCCAGCTTTAGGCATTAAGTGCTGAAGGTTGGGGAAAAATTATAAATCCATATGGCAACTCCCTCCCCCTCCAGTGGCCTGAAAGTGACAATATTTTTAGCATTGAGTGGATACAGCATTTGCTGTTGCTTTTGCTTGTTTTTTCTCCTGGCTGCTGACATTGGCAATCATGATTTGCAGTTCACAATAATCGATTATCCATTTGTGTATTATTCTAAGTGAGGCACCTCAAGTGTACAACCTGAGTATATTCTGAGTGACAGTGTTAGCAGTTGTCTTTGATTTGGCTGGTGGATTGACGAACTGTCCTTTGCAGTGAGATAGTGCTAGTATAATTTCAACATTATGAATGTTGTGACAATATTTGCTAAGAGTTTAGATAATGAGGATGACCATACCAAAGCCAACATGACATAGACATCACCTTAAAAGAAAGCTAAATGACTTATTTTAATGATAGATGGAAGGACACTTAGATTAGGAAATTTAATAACCAAAACAGTACATTCCACACAAAGACAGAAGAGAATTTGGGACTGGACATTGCTATGGTTTGAATGTTTCCCACCCCCACCTCCAAATTCATATGTTGAAATCCCAGTGCCCAAGGTAATGGTATTAGTAGGTAGGGCCTTTGGGAGGTGATTAGGTCATGATGGTGCTGGAGTCATGAATGGGACTAGTGCCCTTATAGAAGAGGCCCAGAAGAGCTTTTACCTCTTCTACTGTGTGGGGGTTCAATGAGAAGTCTTTGACCAGGCGTAAGGCCCTCACTAGACCATGCTAGCACCCTGATCTCAGACTTCCAGCATCCAGAAATGTGAACAATAAATTTTTGTCATTTATAAGCTACCCAGTCTGTGGATAATATAAAATACAAAACTATAAAACTCCTAGGAAATAGCAGGAGCAAATCTTGATGACTTGGGGTTTGGTGATGACTTTTTAGATGCAACACCAAAGACAGGAAATCCATGGAGTTAGGATTTTATCCCAGGTGGAAAGGAAAGCTATTGAATAATTTATTTTTATGAGATCACCCTGGGGGCTGAGTAGTAAATGGATTGTATAAAGCAAGATCAAGGGCAGGAAAACAAATTTGGAGACCATTGCCAAAGTCTTGATAAAAGAAGGCAATACAAGGTAGTGAGATCAGCATGGAAGAAAGATGCAGAGTTTGGTTTTGCACATATTGAAGTGCCAGAGTCATCGGACTAAAAATATCCAGAGAGCAGTTGGTCTGATGCTCCGAGGAGCACACAGGAAGCCTGCAAATGTTGAGAGGACAGCAGAGGCCACAAATGTAGGAGGGAGAAAAGCAAGAGTGGGGCCCCGAGGGGCAGAAATATTGAGGAAGTACTGCCTCTTGCCACTGAGTTTAAGAAAGTAATCAAAGGTGTCCTTGGATGGAGATAATGGTTGCCTTTGATCCTGGCTAAAATCCTCATTATTAAACAGGGCTGTGAAGACCTTCTAGTAAATTCCGTTAGTTATACCTTTTCCTAATACAATCCAAGTTATGTTTGTTTGGTTTTGTCTCATCTTTATGTAGTTCTCTCCCCCTGCCTTCCAATCTCTGTAGGGAAGGGACATGAGGATAGATGCCATGCCCTACTTTTCTCATTCTTTAGAATCTCCTTTTAAATGTTTACTTACCAAAGACAGTGATGGCTTTGAATTGACCTGATACTTTCAAGGATTCTAGCATTTGTCTTATTTGTCACAGCAGCAGTTTCATAATGAGGAAAGTCATGTAAACAAAGGATGTTCTATAAGGATCAAGGCAAGGTATACTGTAGGTTGGCAGTTACTGACTTACACACCTAAAAAGGAATTCAGGATGAAGCATTCTGATTTGTGGATATATGGACCCCTAGATAGCTAAGATGCATATCTAAAGAAGAATTTCAACGACCCCAGATTCCTGCATCTTCCCATGCATAGATAAGCACCAAAATAAGTAAACTGAGATAGCTAGGGTTTTTTTGCTTTTTGTTTTGTTTTTGTTTGTGTGTGTGTGTGTGTGATTAGCAGTATTCTTTTACCAAGATGTTTGCTTGAGTACATGTATTTTCCAGCCAAAAAAATTCATATATATACTGGCCCCCACCACCGCTTCTTCAGAGCAGTCCCTCAGAGCTATCTAAAAGGCTGTCTTCCAGGCTGTAGTCCTCAGTAAGGTCCCTGAATAAAACTGAATCTCACTGCTCTTACACTGTGCATTTTTCCCCCCAGTGGACACCGGCAAGCATCAGTACTAACCCTGGGAAAGGACAGGGATGCTGCTCTTCCCTAGAAATTCATTATCATATTTTTTCCTATGTGATATCAAGCAAAGCAACTAGTGGAAGTCACAGTCAGTGTAGTTCTCCTGGCAAATGATAAACTGTGGTCAAGAAAAAGATTGTTTAATAAGTAATTTGTGAGAAGAAAACAAAGATCATACTTAATCCTTCCATAATGGGGCCTATTATAGCAAATCCATGTATTGTTATGGAAAAAGAAATTTACAGATTAATTAGCTTATTAACAAAAACCTTACTGTTGAGTAGCTACGTGGCATATAGCAGGAAATGTTTGCCACACCAGAAGAGGGAGCAATCTTACATTCTAATGCTTTTTTTTTCCTCTCAAAGAAGCAGATGCTTAACAGATGGTGCTGATGAAATCTGCAACTGATCAGCCTTTGTGCTACTGCCCAGCAGCAGCTAACCTGGAACTATTAAAACTTAGTATGAAGAGTCACATTTCTTGCATCCTTTGTGTATAGTTTTGTAAGTAGAATAAAATATTTACTATAGAGCGCTGTTTTATCTCTTTCCTTGGAAAATATGAAGGTATGGCAACAAGTAGAAATCTTTAAGGAACAAGGATCAAAAAACTTTAAAGAAAAATATACTTCTTTGTAATTTTATTGAACATTCAATATACAATATGGCAGTTTTTCTGGGATTTAACCATAGGATATGATTATTGCTGGTGCTTAGCAAAAGACTCAAGTTTACAGTTAACCACTAATAAAATGCCTTACTGAATAAAAATGATACCAAACAAAATGAATTCAAGTACTTTCTTAAAAAAGTCATTTTAAAGTTCATTCTACTCAGCCTAATGACTAACACCATAAAGGCAGAACACTAGTTTAATATACTTGGCTGCTTTTATACAGCAGATATCTTTCAGTTCACATTTAATAAGTATATTATTAAATAACAGCAAATACTCAATATAACAATGTTTACAGAACTAGAAAATAAATTTCTAAGAAATATTTTTACAACTCTATCTTTCATACCCAGCCCCAACAGTCTAATTCTGTAGAGCATGAAGTCAATGACTTTCCTTACATGAGCTCATGCTGAAATTGCTTTGCTATCAAAAATCTACATTTTTGATCTGTTCTGAGCATTGAGACAAGCTTCAAATACTCCCCCCAAAAGAAGTACAATGCATATTGTGATTACCTTTTCAGCAACAGCGAACGTGGCATTCAAAACCATCTCATCCCAGGAATTAGTCTGCCACATTCAGTGGCATTTCCTCCACGGTAGTACGAAAGTCTGTGTCATGTAAGTCCTGTCTTCTTCAATGTTTATGGCCACAGTTTTCCTCCCAAATTGACTCACTGCCAATTCTGAACAAAAGAAAAATTATAAATGAGACTATCACTGATCAAATGCTACATAAACTACTAATGATATGAACTACTTGTTAACCATCAGTGGCTGTTTATTTGCCAAGATTATACTTAGAGTGCTTCTAACTGAAGCGCTAGATGTTAACTACAATAGCTAGAGAAAAAGAAAAGATTTCTTCTGTAGTTAATTCAACAAGATTCATCTGGCTGCAAGATCAAATTCTTTCGGGCACCTGAGTGTTATTATTTATAAAGCAGATGACTGTATTGTGTTTGGGGTAGTGAAATTATAGCCCATAGCAAAGTCGGCTAAGAGCAGCTGTTAGCCTGCAACAGACGTAAACACCAGGGAACAGTTGTGTAATCTGTTTTGACACACTTTTGGAATTATAAATGGAAAATATAAACTCTGGAATGTTAACTATTATTTAGGACTATGCTGTCCAATGCAATAGTCACTAGCTACACGTGGCTAGTTAAATTAAAATGAATTAAAATAAAATAGAAAATTCAGTTCCTCAGTTGCATTAACCACATTTCAGTAGCCACCTGTGGGCTGTCACTACTGTGTGGGGCAGTGCAGATATAGGGCATTTCCAACACGACAGACTTGGTCCAGGACTTAAAACTTTTTCCAGTAGTGGGGAAACTTCCAAAGATTTGTTATAGTAACCCATATTTATCAGTGCTTTCTGCTCTGCTCACCTCATACACTGTAACACAAATGAATGAGAGATGTTTACCACCACAACCCTCTACTAAAACAGATGATAGAACCAATCAAAAATGTCTTGGCTGAGCAACTTAAAGTATCAAATAACCAAGACAAGAGAAAAAAAATATGGAAACACTTTCTTGCTCTTTATCCAAACAACAAGCTACTTCACTTATGAATCTATGTCCTTAATCAGGCCAATGCCATTTCTGAGTATCACCTCATCACCTATTCTTCTCAACCACTATATTTTGGACAAAGTTATTTTTACATTAGTAGCAGGACATAATTTAACTTATTTAGTGATAAAGCCACTGTATGTAAGCCAGGGTCAACATAAATTGCTACCAGAAAACACCAAGAAAATCTCAATTACAGAGGAGTCACCAGGAAAGCACAAGATATAAGCAACATGACCAAAACCAAAACAAGACCAAAAAAAACCCCTCATGTGTAAGTTAAGACAACTAATCTAACAGCATTATTGATTTTCCCTTTGAATATCAACTGTATAAAATACAAAATCTGGGCTACATTTCACATGGCTTTCCCACTGTGTTTTGAGCAACCATGAATCTTTACAAGTACAATTTAAGTAAATTCAACTTACTATGTTACTACATTTCCTGGTTCATTTACTGACTTTTCAAAGTTGTCTGGCTGACAAAATCATACTTGAAAAGCAGTACCTGAAGTTATTTCACCAGAATAAAAGCAAGTCATTCAATGCAGATGACAAATGACTCAACTGAGAACATAGTTTCCACAAGCGGTGGGCAGATCATAGTTTATAACCATAGATATTAGTTGAACATAAAAATCATAAGCCTGAGATATGATAATATATATTCACATTCTGATTCAAAAGGCAACTTCTGCACAATCTCTTAGGCCACAAAATAGTAAGGAACCACATATAAGTCACACGGCTCACTGTGGAGCGTGGTCTTCATTCCCCCACATAGCTTAAGCTGACAAAGGTGATGAAAAATCCTCTCCAAACCACCTTTTAATAGATAAATATTGTAATTAAATGAAATACCAGTAAGTCAGTAGTAATCAAAACACAGTTTTTCCCCTATCTGAATTCCCTCTTGGGAATATCTCTTTTTTTCTGTCACCACCTGCAAGATATTAATAAGCCTTAACTCTCAGGAGTCATTTGTTAAGGCAGGGTTTAAATTGGTAACCGTGTATGAGACCATGCATCCCTGGCTGCTACAGCACCGTGGCTGACAGGGCTTGAAGGAAACAGTCTTATTTTGAGCAGGGGGTAAAGACAATGTGGCACTTCACAGCTACACTGTAACTAGATCCTGCATCAGTTTATTAAGGAAATGGGATTAACAGTGTCTTAATCACCAGTACTAGGGAAGAGCAGTTCTTGCCACAACAGAAACTGAAATTCCTGGCATGCATTTTCTCAGACATCCACCTTCTGCCCTGTGTTCTACTGGCCAGTCTCTCATATGTCACAAAGCACACACGATTCCTCCCTGGAGTATATCAGAGAGGAAAATGTGAATTTGGATCAGAGTTGGAGTAAAAAGCCATTTGATTTCTAACTCTCATCCCTACCATCAGAAGGAAATACTTAGAAATTCATTCATTAATTCTGCTTAAATACAGATATGATTGTACCAAATCTTAGAACAAAACACCTTGGAGTTACCCGTGGTTGTTCTACCATTTGTACAGTTGTGTTTCTCTTTGTTTACTCTGCCAGCTTTATTACAAGGACTAAGACACTGCAGATACTAGTTTCTGCAATTTTAGCACAGAGCTTAAATAAGAAGGTAAAAGCAAATCCTAGCTGTAATTTTTATGTATATCAATTAGAAAAACATTACCCTTTTTCAAAATTATTATATGATATTGACTCTTTCAAGGGTCAGTTCTTCTTTATCAGAATTTGAAACGGGTCTCTCAGGAACTTTTTGAAGACTTCAACATATCGATTGGCATAAAGGCAGAAAGCAACACAACCTTAAAAAGAGACAACAACTAGTTATGCTGCATATCAATTAAACAGTTATAACAATTTTCATAATAATACTGAGAGAAATGTTTGAGACCAAGCGTCCCTGTCTTACTACAGAATTGAGTTAGACAGAGATTGTAGGAAACAATTGCTTTTGGCAGGGGAAAGGACAATATAGCACTTCACAGCTATATTGTAACAATTAAACCAACCTGCCAGCTACAGAAAAATCATGTGCACAGCTGAATCCTTGTATTTGATTTCTGGTAAATCCCATGGATTTGATCTTTAATCCCTTGGCTCAAGATCTGTATTGGCTTCATCAAAAATAAGCCTCCTGATTCATTTTGGAATATGAAAAAAAGTCTTAAGGTGGGTTGTGCATAGAGACTTCCTTCCAAAGACTACAGTACAGAAGAAGAGGCAGAAAAGTGACTTTATGTGGAGAAACCTGACAAACTCTAACTCAGCCAGGCGATCAAGGTCAACAACAGTAATAAGCCTTGATAGAATGAGATGAAAATGGTTCCTTACCTACGTGGTCTTCCTCCCCCAAACCCAGAACTACAGTCTAAACTTGAGAAAAACATCAGACAAATTCCAATACTAAAGGCATCCTACTAAATATCTGACCAATAATTCTCAAAATGGTCAAGGTCATTGAAAACAAGCAAAATTTCATTAACTGGTACAGCCAAGAGGAGCTTAAGGAGACATGAGAATTAAATGTCTCTGTGGTATCCTAGGTGGGGACCTGGAACAGAAAAAGGACATAGGGAAATCTGGGTAAATTCTGGACTTTTTTTTAGTTCATAATAATGTATCGATGTTGGTTCATTAATTTTAACAAATGTAGCATACTAATGGAAGATGTTAATAATACTGGAAACTGGGAATTCTCTTCTCAATTTTTCTGTAAACCTAAAACTGTTCTAAAAAATAAAGCCTATTAAAGAAAAATCTTAGTATCACCTCTAGATATTCCTGCATGGCAAATGGCTTAAACAATTAGGCTAATTATTTTCCCTCCCATACCTCAAATATCCCTGGTTAAAAAAATGCCCTAGGAAAAATATGGCAATACTTACAAAGGTATCTTCTATTTAACATATCAAATGTTGTTCCTGGAGTACCAGCGACATGATGTGCTGTGTCCATGAGTCTGCAGTTTTTGCATTTCATTTTGAACACTGGTTCAACACAATAAAGGCATGACAAGTTACTCCCAGGTAGTATTCAAGTGCCAGAACTACCTTTTGGATCTAAAAGTCAAAAGCTCTAATTATTTATGCTGTACAAATAAAGGCTCCACCAAATGACTTTTGAAGCACATGGCTAAATGCTAAACTGTTTACATTTAGTTTAAGATTCTGGTCTGCAAACAGCTTTTATGCAGCACAACACAGAATCACTTCCAAGCTTACCATGTAGACACACTGCTTCAAGATAATATCCCTTTAAGCATCTCATTTTAAATTAGATTTTTGGGCTTTTTCAAACTTGGGATCCTCAGTTTCCTAGAGATACCAGCTAGATAGTTAAGGAACCAAAACAGACATTTCCAACATTATTCTTCTATGTGTAAGACGTGTAAGTAGTGAAATAAGCTCTACAGCTCTAAGGCAAATTGCTCCGATATGTATTCACTTTCACTTTAAAAATTGACTTATCATTCACTTTAAATATCTTTCCAATAGGAAACTCAGACAGCCTTGATCTTAATAAAGCTTACAACTTTATTAAGAAAAGCTTTATTTCATAGGTAACATAGCAGTAAGGTTTCAAAACAGATAGCAGATAACAGATGTATCACAAGTGACAAAAATTTCCAACTATTACAGATCATTTCTGTCTTCCTGTTGCAAATCTGCATTTGAACTTAACAACAGTAACACAAAGGACATGGATCCTGGTACCCTGAAAGAAAGCAAGCTTCAGTTTCTCAGTCTGTTGAGTATAGCTCTGCAAACTTATCATTTTGTAATATAGTATGCAGTTTGGCTTTACACTGTCTTATTTCACACCTCCAGTAAGTTCTGTCACCATATTTTCTATCAAGTCAATGTACATAGTTGTAATCACCCACTATTTTAAAACTATGTCTACTCGTCCCTGTGTAGATCATTATAAGGGCTAAGATGTATATAATATAAAAATAGGAGTACTGTGTCAATGGACACATGAAACCAAACTGTCAACCAGTTGAAACCAAACTATCAAACCAAACTGTCAACCAGTTATTTTATCGTTTTTTGGTAAAAATGTCTACAGCAAAGATGACTATGGTGAAAATACCAGATATACACCACTGATGTTTGAACCTTGTGAATATACTGACAACCACTAAATTGTAAATTTTAGGGTAACTTCTATGGAATGTGAATTGTATCTCAATAAAAAACTTTTTTCTTTTTAAAAGAGAAGAGAGAAATAGGAAAGCTGCTTAGGAGGTTAAAGCATTTGACTAGATGATGGTGTTTTTGACTTAAGGGTGTGGTGGTATTGGGCAGAAAGAATTAACTAGAGTAAAACACATGTAGACAATAGAATTAACAGCATTTGGTGATTACTTTGTGGGTGGAACAAGATAGGGGAGGGAGGAGAGATGTTCAAGGATCCCCAAATTTCTGGCATTAACTTAATGAGCAATAATGTTCTAATCTACTTAGCTTTGACAGTCTGCAGGAAAAGCAGGATTAGCACAGGATTGTGAATTCAATTTCAAATATACTGAGCTTGGGGTATCTGGAGCACACCAAGTGAAGACTCTGAGTAGGCAGCTGAACACACATGTATGATATTCAGAAGAAAAACTGAGTTAGAGAAATTTGGGGGTTTTCAACAAAGCTTTTGGAATATATGAGATCCAGAAGATCTCACTTCCAACACAGAGTGTTGGGGAATTCCAACATCTAAGGGTCTGGTAATTCAACAAGAGACTGAGAAACAGAGGAGGGAAAAGCAAAAGGAAAACTAGACTTATTTATAAGGGAAGAGACAAGAGAAGAATTTATTTCTAAAAGGAAGAACTGACTTATAGACAGGGTTGGCATCCTTTTTCTGTAAAGGGCCAGGTAGCAAATATTTTAGCTCATGGGCCATATAAAAACATGCTGAAGCTAAATGTGGTCCACATGCTATAGTTTGCCTGAACACTGGTTGAGAGAGTTAAATATTGCTAAGAAGTCAAGAGTGCATTGGATTTAGGGACAAGGAAGTTATTGGTGACCTTAGAAACAGTTTCAGTAGAGGGGTGAGGACAGAAGCATAAGAGGAGTGGGTTGAGAAGGGAATGAGAAGTAAAGAAATAGAAACATCAGGGCTGATAATTTTTAAAATTTGATTATAAATGGGAGAAGAAAGAGAGGCTTAGGTGGGAAGAAGAATGGGACCTACAATTGTTTCCTGAAGAAGAAAGAGACTATAGAATATTTATAAGCTGGTGGCAAGGATCTGGTTAAGAGGGTGTGATTAACCATCCAGATGACAGAAGGGCTGACAGCAGAGACACTGAGATGGTCAGAGGGGGAGGATGGCACAGGCGATGGAGACTAGGTAGGTGGAAGTTGGATGGATACAGATGAAGGTGGGTGGGCAGATTTGCTGGCAGGAAGCTCAGAAGCTCAGGTAGTCTATTTTCTCAATAACATTGAGATCATTTGCTGAGAATGGCTTATAAGGGATGGCAGAGGCTTGAAAAAAGTGAGGAGGATTCAAAATAGCAGTTGCACAGAAAAGCAGAAAGAGGTGGCTAGAGAAACAATGGGCCTGCTGTGCAGTGCTGAAAGCCCAGGTGAAGCTGCCTACCAGGAATTACATTAGTACCAAGTCTTTCCAGTGTGCAAGTTTCTCCAGCTCTCTGGGAGGCCTGGGGCAGGCACAAAGAATACAAATAGTTGGATACATCCATGGCTGATGTCTTCTCTGGTGGATAATAGCTATTAATAATTGGTAGCAATTATAAACCCTGGGGATTAGGGAGTAGGTTTTTATTAGTTATGATTTTAGAGATAAACAAAAGCTCAGATATGTTAAGTATGTATTTATGATCACTTGGGTAAAAGTCAGTAGTTGCTAAAGACTAGATCTTTAATTTCGTAATTCCACATACCTTTCTAGGTGGTGGAAAGATTTTGTAGTTTTTTGGAGAAAAACTGGGAAAAGTTCCCAAGAGGAATTTTAGTGAATAGTTTGTAAGTAAACTACATTAACACTATGAACACTAAGGAAGTAAAACAATATACAAAAAAATGTAAAACTGCTAAAAAGCTTGACATTCTAAGTCTATCTCACCATAAACAGCCACTGACCATAAACCTATTTTCTGGCTTTACCCCCCTCACTCTAGTCATTTTCTCTCCCCTGGTGCTTGGTAATGTTTCTTCCTGTTTATAACACAATGAAAATGAAAATCATATAAAATTATACATGGGGAGCAAATACTAATATATAAATATTTTATTATATTATCCTGGTTTACAGGTATTTGATTTGGTAAAATTGGTAAGTTATGGTCTAAAATATCTGCTCTATTATTGAACAGTATGTTTCTTTTCACTGAAATTCACTATATTCATAATATTCTTAAATACCTGGCTTTTTTCAACTTAAAACTAAAATTAAAATATTTAATTTAAACAAGTTTGTACTGTATAGCACAGGGAAATATATTCAGTATCTTGTAGCTCACAGTGAAAAAGAATATGCATATATGTATATTCATGTATGAGTGAAGAATTGTGCTGTACACCAGAAATTGACACATTGTAAACTGACTATACCTCAATAAAAAAATTAATTATCTAATGATTTATGCCAAAAATTCACATTTACTAAAAGTCAAAATATAATGGCTAATCATGGCTAAAATTAATCAATTTCAATGTCCCAGGCGCTTGACAAGAATTTAACAAAACAATCCTATGAAGTGGATACAACCATTATCATTTCTGTTTTAAAAAAGAGGAAATGGAGTCCTAGAGAGATGATGTAACTTGCCTGCTGCCATCAAAGTGGTAAAGCTAGGCTTTGAACCTGGATGTCTCATTTCAGAATACTCTATACTGCTTTAATCCCTAACTTCACTGTCATGTATGGATCTCTTGCATGAATATAACTTTTTCCACTGACAATAGAGTCAAATGATATGCCATTGTGATTTAATATATAAAATATACTTCCATCATCATATAGTGAATCATTTTTCCTTGAGAATTTAATACCATTATTTCTTCCCCAAAATATAAGGTAAATGCCACAGCGAGGAACCCGAACATAAAACAACTCTCCAGCCCCCCTGAAAGATAAATTTGCTTTTGTTAACTAGATTCATTTCAACAATTAAGAAGTGCTCTGTAGCAGTCTTTCTTTGAACTACACCCCTGAGGAGGGACAGCAGAACTGAAATGGGCTGTCCTGGCCCCATTACTTACTAGTTGCTTAAATTTGGGCAAGACACTATGGGTTTCATCAGAACACGGATCACAACACTCCCCAAACGGGGAGTCCTACGAAAGGACTCTGTAAATGGTTAGGAAGTGTACAAATGTTACTCTTGCTTAGGGTTGCCAGATAAAAAACAGGACGCCCAGTTAAATTTCAGACAAATAATGCTTATATTTTAATTTTACTTGATATCGGAGACATATTTATACTAAAAAAATTATGTGTCGTTCATCTGAGTTTAAATTTAACTAGCGTCCTGTATTTTTATTGCTAAATCTGGCAACCGTATTCTCGCCCCCATAGCTTGGGGAGAGTGGGAGGATGGCAGGCCTAACTCCATTTCCCCCACCCTCTGCGCCTAAGTGGAGAAACGAAGGCAAAGGGCGAGTGAACCTAGGGAGGGGGAAGAAGCGGAAGGGCTGGATGTAGGAGGACTCCCTCTCGGGTTGGGACTGAAATCAGAATCCCCTGACAGCAGAGTCTACCGAGCCTCTGGTATTTCCGGACCAGGCACACCACTCAGGCAGGGCAAACAGCCCCCCGCCCCAACCCCAGGGCAAGAACGCAACGGCCCCTCCACCCACCGTTGCCTTGGCGGCAGCAGCATCCGAATCCGGACACGCTGCCACTCCGTCGCCACCAGCAGCACCGACACCACCGAGACCGCAGCCATGTCCCTGGTGCCTGAACGCTTGTTGACGTGCGGCTGCGCTTCAGATGTCACCCAAACAGTCCCGCCATTGCGTGTAGAAGTCTCTTGTCCTCCTCTGGCCACCGTCTAGTCCCGGGAAATGGGCCAGTCCGAGCGAGACATTCGGGAGGGGGCTTCACAGCTAAAACCAATCAAATAACAGAGGAGGTCTGCAGTGATGGCAATTGGCCAATTGGGCTGTGTGCCAGCGGGGGCGTGAACCCTGCTTCCCCCCTCCCTTCGGCTTCGGATCCAACTGGGGTAGGGGCGTGGTTTCCTCAGTCTCCTTAGGTCCCCTGGGTGCCGGATAGATGTTTCCTCTTGTGGTCTGCGGGGTTCTTTTCCTCTCGTGTGCTCCAAGGCGAAGAGCCTTCCACCAGTTTTAATCTTTAGAGTTTTCTTAGGGGAAGAAGAAAGGAGAGCTGTCCTAAGATATAAAGGGGTGTGGGGTAAGAAGAATACAACATTTTATAATGCTTTTCAACAATTGAAAAACGTGTATTTAAAGAAATGCTCCCCTTAGTTATCTCAAAAGTGAAATTACAGAATTTTAAAATAGACTTTTCTATAATGCTGTTTTTTTAAATTGAGATATAATTGACACAGTATTTTGTAAGTTTAAGGTGTACAGCGTGTTGCTTTGATACTTTTATATATTGCAGTATGATTACCACCATAGGGTTAGCTAACACCTCTTTCATTCCACATAATTATAATTTATTTTTTTGCAATGAGAACATTTAAGATCTAGTCTGTTAGCAACTTTAAAGTATATGATAAGTATTGTTGGCTGTAATCACTGATGCAGTACATTAGATTTCCAGAACTTGTTAGTGTTCTAGTCACAAGTTTGTAGACTTTATTATTTTACAGCAGTTCGAGTTTCACAGCAATACTGAGCAGAAAACAGAGGTTTCCCATATACCCACTGCCTCCTCCCACATGCACCCCCCCATTATTAATATTCCCCCACCACAGTGGTACATTTGTTACAACTGATGAGCCTACATTAACCCATCATAATCACTGAAAGTCCATAGTTTATATTAGCCTTTACTCTTTATGTTATACTTTCATGGGTCTGGACAAATTTATAATGACATGTGTCCACCATTATAATATCATAAAGAGTAATTTTCTGCCCTAAAAATTGGCTATGCTTCACCTATTCATTCCTCCCTCCCCCAATAATCACTGGAAAACACTGATCTTTTTACTGTCTTCATAGTTTTGCTCTTTGCAGAATGTTATATGGTTGGAATCACACAGTATGCAGCATTTTCAGATTGACTTCTTTCACTTAGTAATATGCATTTAAGTTTCCTTCATGTCTTTTCATGGCTTGATAGCTCATTTCTTTCTAGCACTGACTAACAGTCCATTGTTTGGATGTACCACAGTTTATTTATCCATTCACCTACTGAAGGACATCTTGGTTTCTTCCACGTTTTGGCAATTATGATTAAAGCTACTATAAACATCATATACAGGTTTTTGTGTGGACATAGGTTTCTAACTCTTTAGGATAAACACCAACCAGCACAATTGCTGAATCTTTCAGTTTTGTGAAAATCTGCCAAACTATCTTCTAAAGGGCAATTTTCCAAATTTGCAGTCTCACCAGCAATTAATGAGAGTCCCTGTTGCTCCACATTCTCACCAGCATTTGGTGATGTCATTGTTTTGGATTTGGGCCATTCTATTAGGTGTATAGTAGTGTGTCATTGTCATTTTAGTTTGTATTTCCCTGATGACATATGATTTGGAGCATCTTTTCGTATGCTTATTGGCCATCTGTATATCTTCTTTGGTGAAGTGTCTGTTAAGGTCTTTAGCCTAATTTTAAAATCAGGTTATTTTTACTATTGAGTTTTAAGAGTTTTTGTATATTTTAGATAACAGTCCTTTTTTTTAAAATTCAGTTATAGTCATTTTACAATGTTGTGTCAATTTCCAGTGTAGAGCACAATTTTTCAGTTATACATGAACATACATATATTCATTGTCACATTCTTTTTTGCTGTGAGCTACCACAAAATCTTGTATATATTTCCCTGTGCTATACAGTATAATCTTGTTTATCTATTCTACATATGCTTGTCAGTATCTACAGATTTTGAACTCCCAGTCTGTCCCATCCCACCCCCGTCCCACTTGGCAACCAGAAGTTTGTATTTTATGTCTTTGAGTCTGTTTCTAACAGTCCTTTTTTTTTAAATCAGATAGACATGTCTCATAAATATTTTCTATCATCCATAGCTTCTCTTTTTATTCTCTTGATAGTACATTTCATACACTAGAAAATCTTAATTTTAATGAAGTCTATTTTAGCAATTCTTTCTTTTCTGAATCGTGCCTTAGGTGTTCACCAAAGCCTAGGTCATTTAGATTTCTCCTATCTTATCTTATAGGAATCTTATAGTTTTGTGTGTTTTACGTATAAGTCTGTGATCCATTTTGAGTTAATTTTTGTAAAGAGTGTGAGGTTTGTGTCTAGATTAATTTTTTTTTGCACGTAGATGTCCAGTTGTTCAGCACCATTTATTGAAGACTATCTTTGTTCCATTGTATTGCCTTTGCTCCTTTGTCAAAGATCAATTGACTATATTTATGTGGGTCTATTTATGGGTTCTCTATTCTCTTCAGTTGATCTATTTGTTTATTCAGTTGCCAGTACCACACTGTCTTGATTATTATAGCTTTATAATAAGTCTTAATGTCAGGTAGTGTCAGTCCACCAACTTTGTTCTTCTTCAATTTTTTATGTGTTGGTTATTTTGGGTCTTTTGTCTTTCCACATAAATTTCAGAATCAGTTTTTCAATATCCACAAAATAACTTACTTGGATTTTGATTGGGATTGCATTTAATCTATAGATCAAGTCTAGAAGAACTGATAGTCATTGTAAGGAACTGTTAAAGCTCCTGGAGGTAAAAGTCACAAAGGTGTCCCCCCTTTCCAACCATGCCTGTGTACCCCTGGAGATTTTACTCCTCAAATTTTTCCACACTGAGCCTCTAGCAATCCATCAATTACAGTTCAGGCTTCCCTACTCCAGCACTGGTTCCTGCAGAAGTTGCTGTTTGTGGGTTTCTGTGAGTAATTGAGATTCTTTGTATTTGTCTGCCAGTCTCTCCAATTTGGGGGCAGTGGTTTGCCCTGTGACCTCATGTCTCTTATGGGTCTAAGAAGAGTTACTGATTTTTCTGTTTGTTCAGCTTTTTGCTTGTTGTTAGGATGAGGTGGCAACTTCTAAGTTTTTTTCATGCTGAACTGAAAACTGGAAGTCCCAGAACATCTTAAAAATAAAAATAGGTAAAGCCCTGCTGATTAGTGCCTGTGAGATATTCAAAATCAGTGCTCAAAAGAAAATACAAACTAAAAATAAATTAAAAGCCCAATTAGAAATTTCTAATTTTTAAATTAGAAAAAAATTAACAAAGCCATCCTAAGGAAAACAAAAGGAAGGAATTAGGATAAAAGAAGAAATTAATTCATCAGAAAATAAAAATGGGAATACTAATCAATATAAGATTTGAAAAAAGCAATACTAGAATAGACAGTTGGCTAGCCTATTTAAGAAACAGAGAGGAAACACAATCAAAATACAAAAAAGAGGAAATAGCTACAGATACAGAAAGAAATTAGTAGACTTGCATGAAATTACTTTACTCAAATCTATGCAACAAATTTGAAAATGTGGATGAAATTACAAGAAAATTACCAAAACATCCCAGAAAAGGTAGAAATTTTAAGTAGACCAATTATCATAGGAGAAATAGATATTGTCAGAGAACTGTATTTTCCCACACCTCAATGCACCAAAGCACCAAGCCTATGTTATTTTACAGAATTCTACTGCGAAATTTTGAGGAGCAGGTGAGTCCATTGCTGTTCTGTCCTCAGGACAGAAAAAAGGACATCTTCCAAAGTCTATTTATGAAGTGAGTATAACACTGATAACAAAATCTAATAAAACATACACATATCATACACGTTCAGATACACCCTGACCGTGGAAACATATCAAGTGATCAAGACAACGTAGTATTGGTGAAAGAACAGACAGCAGATCAACTGAACAGAATAAAGTGCCCAGATACAGACCTACACAAATACAGTCAGCTGATCTTTGACAAAGGAGCAAAAGCAATTCAATGGAAAAAAGATAGTCTTTTCAACATGTGGTGCTGGAAAAACTAGACATCCACATGCAAAATAATGAATCTAGGCACAAACCTTACAACTTTCATAAAAATTGTCTCAAAATTGATCATAGACCTAAATGTAAAATATTAAACTGTACAAGTTCTAGAAGAAAACATAGGAGAAAATCTAGGAGACCTTGGGTTTGGCAATGACTTTCAGATACAACACCAAAAGCATGACCCAAGGAAGAAAAAACTGATAAATTGTTCCTCATTAAAATTAAAAACTTGTACTCCACTAAACACTTTTAGGACAATGAAAAGACAAGCCACAGTCTGGGAGAAGATATCTTCTAAACACATATCTGATAAAGGACTTATGTCCAAAATATACAAAGAACTCTTAGAACTCAGTAATAAGAAAAAAACAACCTAATTAAAAAGTGGGCAGACACCTCACCAAAGAATATAAGCATGCAAGTTGCTCACTGTCATATGCCATTGGGTAACTGCAAATTTAAACTACTGTGAGGTATTACTACATACCTATTAGGATGGCCAGAATCCAAAACACTGACAACCCAAATGCTGGTTACCATGTGGAGCAACAAGAACTCTCATTCATTGCTGGTGGGAATGTAAAATGGTTTTGCAAGGTGGTTTGTAGTTTCTTATAAAGGTAAACATAGTTTTCGCATAAAATCCAGAAATTGCATTCATAGTTATGTGCCCAAATGAGTTGAAAATGTATGCCCACATAAGAATCTGTGCATGAATGTTTATAACAGCTTTATTCATAATTGCTCCCAACTGAAAACAACCAAGATGTCTGTCATTGGGTGAATGGATAAACAAAACTGTGGGACATCCATGGTGGAATATAAGAAATAGTACTCAGTGATAAAAAGAAATGATCTATCAAGTCATAACAAGACATAGAGGAAACTTAACTTTATATTCCTAAGTGAAGGCAGCCAGTCTGAAAATGCTTCATACTGTATAATTCTAATTATATGACATTCTGGAAGAGGCAACACTATAGAGACAATAAAAAGATTAGTGGTTGTTCTAAGTTTAAGGGGAGGGGATAATGAATAGGTGAAGAACAGAGGATTTTTAAGGCAGTGAAACTATTCTGTGTGCTACTATTAACAGTGGATATGCGCATGCATTAGTCAAAACCCACAGAACTGTACAATACAAAGAGTGAAACTTAGTGTAAAATATAGGCTTTAGTGAACAATAATCCATATTGGTTCATCAATTATAATACATGTACCATACATATAATGCAAGATGTTAATAAGGGAAACTGTTTTGGGGAGGAGAGTGAGAACTCTGTACATTCTGCTCATTTTTTTCTGCAAGTCTAAAACTGCTCTTAAAAAGTCTATTAATGAAAATAATACATCAAATAAAAATATGAAATCTCAAATGGTTTTGCCTGCAGATGGCAGAATTCTGATCAATTCTCCATCCCTTTCTCGTACCTTGTCTTTAGTTTTCTGTATTTTGCTAATATGTTCTACAAAGAAAATGCATTATTTTGAAAATAAGATTAAAATTGAGAAAGGACATATATGGGAGAGGAGAGTAGAAGTACAGAGGTAGAGGCAGGTGCTACCCCTCCCTGACATTTTTGTACTTGCATATTCACAGGCACCCCTGTGGCAGGGGAGGAGGATTGGGGGTGGGGCAGACTAGGATCAGGAAACAGAAGATGACAGCGGAACAACTGTTGAGATAGTGTGAGCTCAGGTGACTTTTTCACTTCTTAGGTTCACCTATTTGGTCATTTGTACAGTAGGTGACACCTGGTGTGACACCCCCCTCCTCCCACCTTAGACAAGGATCCCAGTCTGGTTTTGCATATTAGAACATAGGCTAGGCTCCCAACTCACAGAGCGTTATCCTATAGGCAGCACTGTGGGAAAGGGGCATCATCACGGGGTGGAGGAACGTCCAAGACCTTTGTGAAAGGAGAGGCTTTGACTAAAGGATGTTCTCTTATTCTGGACTTTGTCGGGGAGCTGTACAGTTTACAGAGGTGTGTAAGGTATTTCTCCTGCCAGGGAATCCAAGTCTGGTGGGGAAGATACAGAGAAGGCAGAGTGGGGCAGGTAGGAGGAGGCCCTGTGGAGGGAGGGGCTTTATCTTGAGGCATTTGTGGTGACCCCTGCCACCTCCCACTGAGCACCTCTACCTACTTTGTCCTCTATCTCCTGTCACCTTCTCTACACTGCCCCTCCTTTTCCCCACTCTCTTCCTCTTCTTTTTCTCTTTTCCTCTGTTCCGCTTTAGTACAGTGTTTTTCAGACTGCTGGCAGCAACCACGTGTTGGGTCATAAAATCTATTCAGTGGGTCTAAACAATCATTCCAAAGCACTTTTTATTATGAAAAAAATTAAACATGTAGAAAAGTAGAGGATATTGTAAAATAACCCATATAACACCTCAACACAACAATTATTAATATTTCTCAGGATTGATTACATTTATTCTCTTTGCTAAATTAGCTTAAATTACAGACATTGATGTTTCATCCCTAAAAACTTCCATATACATGTCTAAGAAAATAAGGACATTTTCTTACATAACTACAACACCATACTTTCCAAATGCCAATTCCCCCAATTTGGACTATTAAAAAAAAATGAAATGGAATAGAAAGTATTTCAGGGCTTCATATGTAGTAAAGGAAAAAACTGTTCCATACAACTTTTGTTTCAATTATGTTTATGCATGTTTACTGCATCCTGATGTAAAATGTATATTATCTTCTGGTTTGTAGTCTAAGAAGTTTGAAGAGCCTTGCTCTAGGCCAGTGGTGCTCACAGTGTGATCCCAGGACCTGCAGCATCAGTAATCCTGGGGATTTGTTAGAAATGTAAGTTCTCAGGTCTCATTCCACACTGCTGAATCAGAATCTCTGGAGGTGGGCAACAGGAATTTGTATTAAAAGAAAACCACCTGTATTTCCAGATGATAATGCTAGTTTGAGAACCACTGATCTAGACTAAACTGGGTGGCGCTAGTGGTGCCTCACACTCACCTGTGGCACCCAATGTGGGTTCTTTGTCTTTCTCTTCACTGTCAGAGGCATTGCTGATAGTTCACCAACGGGGAGGTGAACTCAACCTCGGTGTTGCTTGGAGGATGGTTTCTCTTTCCAGGCTCAGGCAAATTCTTACCTGAAGGCAGAGGATGGTCTAGATTCATAAGATAAGTAAAACACAGTTTGGGTCTTATACCAGCAGCTTCTGTAAAATGAGTCTAAAACCATTAAAGGGTTATTGTGGGTCTTAAGTGAAGTTTGTGAAATGCCTACCATCATCCCAGATGGCATAGAGCAGTCGCTTATTATATGATGGTGGTAGCTGCTGTATTTGACACTGCCTATCACCACCCTGGGCATATAATTGATGTTCAGTGAATGATTATTCATTCATTAGAGAGGAAGGCAGGCTATTGTGGTTTGTTCCTTAATTTTGCCATACATTAGAGCAATGTGCTTTGTCAGAGACAGGAAATAAATCATAATTAGGAAGGATAAAAGGAGGCACAGAAGGGAGGAGGGCAGAGAAGGAGAGAAGACAGGAAGCATGTCCATATTTATAAGAGCAATGGAAGCAATAACTATTTTCTTGGAGGAACAAGGAGATATGGGCTATTGAAAACTATGCTCATTTCTTTTTAGTTACAGGATTTTAGAGCAGGAAAAGGGAACATGGCCCAGGTAAAGCAGTTGAGGCCCCAGGAGAGCATGTGTTAGAGATGGGGGTACTGAACTGGTTTCTGAGGATAGGCACTGCCTGCTACATCTTGCCATAAAGTCAGCCAATTCATCTCCATGGAAACCGCTGAAGATTGTGAAAGGTACAGATGTGGGAAAGGAAAGCAGCACTCCGAGTGTGATTTGTTTGCTTTCTATTTCTTTTCTCTCTCATTCCTATTCATAAGCTTCTCCTACCTCTCCTTCCTCTCCCTATCTCCCTCCTTTCCACCCATGATTCTCACCCATAAGGACCTGGCCTGATCCAAGAAGCTGAGGTCACTGCAAAGTCCAGAACGTCTTACATTATCAGTTTTCTTAGCAATATGCTGGTTTCTAGTGACCAATTCACAATTGGCTCTGACTGGGCACCAGGGTACGGACTACTACCAATAGAAAATACCTCCTTTGGTTCCTCAAAAATACTTGTGACCCTTGAATAGCCAGAAGCTGCCATGGAAACACAACCCAAAGTTGTCTTATTCTTCTGGGTCTTTCCCCCTTTTTGAATTTCCTTCAAGAGGTTGCAATGAAAACAGCTGCTCTGCTTGTGCAGGCAGAGTGCAAAGGGCCTGATCACAGGAGGGAGGAACCACTGTACAAATCTCACACCGCAGGTGGATACACACCATCTCTTAACCAGAGCCCACAATTGTTAACAGAAAGCATTTAAAAACATTGCCAAACCCCTGGGATGAGCGGCTATTACTAGAAATTGAATCCAGGGTGTTTGGGGTTTGGCTTTTTACATGCCAAAGAGGAAAGCTGAGCTTCCTGAAATTGGCTCAGAACATGTGGTTGGTCCTGGCACTCTCACGACTGGATTCCCCGTTGTAGAATGGGTTGAGGAACAACCTGACCAGATTCGCGTTTGTTCAGGCTTTTCCCGTGGAGCTGTGCTGATGCGGTTAGCCTGCCTGTCCTGTAGTATCTGGAGGCACCCGAGGAAGCCGCGGGACAGCGTCTACTGCCAGACAGATGCTCCTGGGGCTGATGGGGAAGAGGGCCGACAAAGGTGCTGTGCCAGGGCTTTTCCAGGAGGGAGCACTGGAGTGCCTGACAGTTGGCCGACGGAGTGGTGGCGCAAGGGAGGAGCTGAACAAAAGCAAAGGCCCACACGGTGGAGACACACGTACGCAGTTGCGTCCCCAGCCGGGTCCGTGCACAGCCGGCGCTCCAGGCTCCAAGTGCGAGTATGTTCAGTAGACGCTGATAACTACGTGAGATAACCCGTAACAAGGCGAAACAACGCCGCCGCTCCCACCCCTCCACAAAAGCCCCCCAGCCCGGAGTCAGGAGATAGCAGGCCTCAGCCAGCCCTCCTTCCCGGGCCCCGGCGGACCTCGGCTGCACTCCCTGCCAGCCCTCGTCTCGCCTAGGCTTCTCCGCAGATACCGAGGGAAGAAGGAGGGGCGAGCCAGGAAGGCGAGTGTCTGGAGTTCAGAATCCCGGTGCTAGCCGGAGCGCCGAAGTCGCTGTGTCCTCCCACATAGTTGGAGGGCAGATCTTGAATCGCCCCCCCTTCTCGGGGCTGAGTGTAGGCTTCACCACCCGAAAACCGGCGGCGCTCGCGCGCGTGCGCGCCTCTCCTGGAGCCTCGGGCACCGCCCCCGGGCGAGGAAAGGTGGGCGCCTGGGCGGGAAGCGTGGGGCGCGCCACGGGGAGGCGGTGGGCGGCGCAGAGCACTACCAGCCACCTGCAGGCTCGGTCCTCAGCACCCGCAGGTTCCGTGCGCCCCCTGCGCGCTGACCGAGCATCTTTCACCCCGACCCTCCAGGGAGTCGGCGCCGGAGACCTGACTAGAAATCCAGAAGCCCTTCCCTGGCCGGGAAGCCGGATGCGCAGCTTTGACGAGATTGGGACGACTTGCTCTTCTCACCTCCAGAACCGCCACTTCCCTCTCTCAGCGCCAGACGTCACGTTGAGAAAGCTGCTGGACTTAATCTTTACAAGAATCCCCTGCGGGGCGTGGCTGGCGTCCTCTAGCCGCACGGCCCTGGAGAGCTGGACTTGGCTGGGAGTGACTCTCGTTCTGAGCCTGAGGAGAGCGAGAGAGCGAGGAAGAGTGTGAGGGCCGAGCATCCTCGGGAGGAGATGCCTTTAAAAAATCATTCATAGCAGCAGAAGAAACAGCTCTGTGTTGCTATGTTTTGCTTGTACTGAGTGGTTTTCTGGTGAAATGCTGTTTTGGTTAAAAGAAGAAATGGCCCCTCAGGAGTTCACCCGGCGCCTGGACACAGTGATCACTCATGTCGGTAAATGAAGCTTTTCCTTTCAAAATTCTTAAAATTATTTTTTAATTTGTTTTTTGAAATCCTGCGTTTTATTAATGGAGGGTGGAGGCGTAGTCTCCCCCCAGTCCGCGTCACCCCTCAGAGCCCTGGAAAGGCAGTGGGGCGCGTTCCCAGCGTCTCGGTCTCGCTGCCTCAGGTGCTGCTTGGGGCGGTCGGTAACCCCCATCCCTGGGGCGCCGGGCTCGCGGCCCTCGGGTCCCCCATGGGGCTGGTGCCTTCACCAGGCAATTGCCACGTCCGTTGAGTCCTAAACCGAGGGCTTTGGGGCTGTTAGGATCTGTTACCCTTGCTCACTGAGGCCAGGGGTGGGGGGGTTGTGTCGTGGGTGACGCGAAGATGAGAAAGGAGAGGGAACAGGAGGAACGAATGCGAGGACTTTCCAGCAGAAACTGCCGCCGAGCGACCCCAGGCTCGTTCACGAGGTAGCATGCTGAAGTGCAGGTCACGTTGGAGGACCGCTGCGCAGTCCGGCTCCCTGGCCTGTGGTGTAGAAGTATATGGCCTGGGGGTGTCGCCACACCCCTGGTGAACCGCAGTGAGAAACCTCTGCAAGCCCCCAGGAGACCGAACAATTTTAGTTCTTTTACAATAATTTAACAAGGGGAGCAAAACATGCATGCCTTGCTCCTGAAATAAGGGTCGTCGTGGTGGACAGACCCTATATAGTAAAGGACTTTGAGACAATGACAAGGTAATTCTTTAATATTTGCTTCTCCAAGCCTTTCCCTAGAACTGCCCCCCGCCCCCAAACAAAAACAAAAACAAAAACAAAATCAAAAACAAAAACACATTTCAGGTTCAGATCCTTTGGAGGTAGATGACTAGAATTATCTGGATAATTTTCTCTGTTGCCCGCTGTAGTTTGAGACCCTTCTGTGAATGCGAATTGGTTTTCATTGATAAAGTCAGAAAGTTTTTAATCTGTGTTTCACTCGTTTGTTAAAACTGCCTTCTTGGTATTTATACCTTAAATATTGCTTCAGTTAGTGAGCCGTTATTGCTTTTTGAGTACCCTGGTTCAGTGTGTTTAGTGCAATAATGATATACATCTCGACTGATACACATGTGGGGATATACTTTGTGATAATTTATATGGAAAGTCTCAGTTTTGATGATTCAGTTTTAAAACATGTTTCTGGTACCAAATGTGGCCACTGAACTGGTTTTTCTTTAAGACAAAAGGTCAGTAGAATCCTACCAGGGAAGGCTGAATGTGAAATACCAGGCAGGATAAAATAAAACAGAATTGAAGTTTGAAATATATTGAATGCTAAGATGATTGTGCTAAATACCAGCACGTGCATGAAATTGTAGTACAGGGAAAGAGCAGTAGACTGGGGCATGTGACCGTCTAGATTTGATTCTGCCCTGGACAAATCATTCAACCTCAGGCTGAAAAATGCGGATTTTCTTTTTAAATTGAAGTACCATCAATTACAATGTAAAATGGGAATTTAAATAATCCTCCCCCACCCAGCTCAAATGCTGCTTGTAAGATTATGTGGGTAAAAATATCATCTAACCTGTGAGTGTGTTATTAGTCTTATCCTTGGGCCCTCTGCCACTAAGGATCTTGGGCGGATCACTGGTCCTCTCTTAGGGCGATGCTTCCCATCTGTAAAACGAAGAAGGATATCTGGATGATTATTAAGGTCTCTCCTATCTTCTGGATGTAGGACCTTCTCGAAGATCTGGTATGCAATATTTCTTGGCTGACACCAGGCTGCCCGTGGGGCCCAGGCTATGGTATTTTCTTGTCTACCTTGTTCCCTCCTTCGTTCCATAATCAGTTCCATGCAGGATACAAAAATGAATTTGTTGTAGTTTCTGCTCTCAAAGAACTTCTAATGAACCCTGGCATTGGTGTGCTTTGCAGCAATCTGTCTCCTCCTGTGTAATCTCACAGACCTGTGACATAGGTGGGGTAAACATTATCACCCCCATCTTACAATGAAGGAGCTGAGACTTAGCAGTTTGATCTCTTAAGCTTTCAAGAGGTAGTGAGAGGCAGGCTCAGGACTGGCAGGCAGCCCTTCAGATGCTCCATTTGGGGATGTCATTGAAGGGGGTTCTAACCCTGCAGCAGCCCCAGCCTTCCTGAAGAGTTGCACGGAGTAGCTAATGGAGCTTCTGCTAGAGTGGATTGGCTTTGCGTTTTTTTTTTTTTCTTGAGTTTTAATGAGATGTAATTGATGTACATCAACTACTGTGTAAGTTTAGGTGTACAGCATAATGATTTGACTTACAAACATCATGAAATGATTACCACAATAAGTGTAATGAACACCCATCATCTCATATAGATACAGTGAAGAAAGAAAAAAAATTTTTTCCTTGTGATGAAAACTCTTAGAATTTACTCTCAACAGCTCTCGTATATAAGGTACAGCAGTATTGATTATATTTATCATGTTGTACATTATATCCCTAGTACTTATTTATCTTATAACTGGAAGTTTCTACCTTTTGACTGCCTTCATTCAGCTCCCCCTTTCCCCAACCCTCTTTCTCTGGTAACCACAAATCTGATCTCTTTTTCTACGAGTTTGTTTGTTTTTTGACGTACAGGATTGACTCTGCATTTAACTGTTCTTTTCAGGCATTTCCTTGGTGAACTGCCTCTGAGAAGTATGAACATGTATTGGAGAAGGGTTGAGAAGTGCTTACAGCAGGATGTGGGTTAGAACATCCTCCTGGTCCTGTCCTAGCCACTCATCTGGGCAACAACACCATGCTTCCATATTCACTGTGCTACCTGTGTCTCTCAGCTTGTTCCTCCTCCAGCCAGGGTTTCTGCTCTTTCCACAGTCCCTTAGATTTGACAATTGAGGTCCGGAGCCTGGTGGTTCAGTTTCTAAAATATCTCATGGGTCTCTCTTCTCTGCTACCTTTCCTCTTTGCCATTGCTTCCTGCCTGTGACCTGCTTCAGAATGCCATTTTTTCCTGACTAACCATTGTGCAAGCCTACTGTCCTCCTGTGTCAGCCTCTAACCTATACCATGAATTAAAAAAACAAAGCCACACACACAGCACTTGTGTGTTTCAGAACTTTTGATGATATCCTTACACAGTCATTGTCTGTTGCCTGGAGTATGAACTCTTTACTGTTTGGCACCCTTCCACTCTCATCCCCCAGTACTTGATATTTCTACGCCTACGGTTGGTCAGCTTGTGCTATTCAGTTCTTCAGCTTTGTTCCACTATATTTTCCTACTCTGTTCTCACTTCTAAACTTTGCTTCTGCTTTCCCTCCACCTGGAATGACCCCTTAATGTATTTCTCCTCACAAAAATAGTACGCACCTTTCAAGCCCGATTCAGTTCCTCCTTCTCTAGGTATCTTCTCTAATCCTGCCAGTGGGACATAAAGACTCCTGCTTCTGAATTCCAAAGTAGGTTTTGTTCTATTCACATGATGCCTCTCTTATTCCCCCTTGTATTATGGTTAGTTGGTTATTCATGTGCTTGTCTTGTCTCTGCTCCTAGACTTTTCATATTAGCCATGTGGCCTAACATGTTATGTAAGACAGGGCCTCCCTCTAAAGAGGTGAGGAATAAATGTTTGCTGAATAGATGAGTGATTTCTTTTGCCTTGGGCTGGACCTTGAGTATTCAGTAATGCCAGACAATTTTTACACTTTTAAGAGTAGCTTTGAAATATTTGTGGTTAACTCTTTTGCCTCCTAAACCCCATTTTTCAGGTAAACACTAAGACCTTTAAGTGTTCTTCATGATGTGGTTCTCTGTGGGGGACTCCTCTTTGGATTTTGTTAGTTTGTCAGGGACCCTCATAAAATATGCAGTTCACATATGTGAACAGTGTCCAGATGTGTTTTACCCAGGCAGGACACAAGTAGGACCATCCTCTCCCCTTTACTCTGGCCTATAGAGTCACATTGGTTCAATTACAGAATTTCTGAATCAGAAAAAGAGTTGTATAATTTCCCCCACCCCATCCCTTTCAGTTCTTGAATCTTCTCTTTAACTTTCACTATACTGCTTTTTATATGCAGAGATGCTCCCTAAGCAATCATGGACTTTCTATTAATGCATCTCAGATTGCTCTAGGATTCTGATAGACAGGGCACATGTGGCTCACATGGCTTCCGTTCAGTGGAAGCCCTTAGTCATCCAGCTGGTCAGTGTCAGTAATCCTCCATGCTGGTGTCACATTTCCAGTCCAGGTCACTCTCCACCCTGTCAGCTCATATGAGAAGTAATTATTTTGACCTGACTTTATCATTGTTCTAAAACAGTTTCATGTTTGACCAGTCCCAATTAACTGGTGGAGCAGAAGGGAATATCTTTTGAGACGTCCTTATATAACTGGAGATTGGATTGGTGGCTGTTTTGGTGATAAAAGCTGTAGGATTTTGATTTATAACCCAGGTCACTACTTTTAGGACACTCCTGGCACTAGTAATAGGCAACCAGAAGAATACTAAACTTCAGCCCACAACTATTATTCTACAATGAAATAGTGGCTGAAATGCCTTGGATTATGTCTCAGCTATTGGTGCTGAAGGGAGGGTTTAACAAGAGTAGAGTATCTGCTGCTCAGATGGAAGTACGCCCCTCAGGGGCAACTAGACTTGCTGGAGTAGTGACTTCATCTACCCTAAAAGTGAATTAACTGGGTCTGAGCCATGTTTCTGTTAGGCTCTCTAGACACTGTGCCTAGTGCAGCAGTAAAGGTAATTATGTAATTAGAAATGACAGCATTATTCAGGGATAATGTGGTGCTCTAAAGACTGAATGGATGTTGCTGTATTTATGATGTGAAATGCCAGCTTTGGTGAAGGGTGACAGGCAAATATTAACCAAAGTGTTTTCATGGTGATAGTGACTATCCATGTTGTCGAGTGATCATTTATGATATCAAGATTCCTTAGAATCTTGTCTAAATAATATTGATTTAGAGGTGACCATCTCTCTAATGTGGAAAACATCAATGGCAATTC